GAACTGCAGAGGTCCTGAAGAAGAGGGGTCAACACAGCTGCATTAACTCATTCTAACTGTCAATAAAAGCTTTTGTATTTCTGTATGTGATGAAAACATCTGACATACACACATGAAAACCAGAGGGCAGCAGATCATGTGAAAATAAAATATTTGTGTCATTCTCAAAACTTTTGGCCATGACTGTATTTCTTACACTACACTGAAGGATTTCTTTCTAAATGATGAATTTCAGACACAGTCTTGTATTTTACACCTTGTGATCAACTGCAGTCATTTGTTTCAGAGAGATTCAGCAGGTCTGTATCAGTGTGTCCCAGTCTGTACCAGAAACAAATGGTGTCGTCCCCAGGGTGGGACCAGGATGGGACCAGGCTGTTCTATTATTGTTTAGATACATTTAAGATATTAGAAAAGAGAAGAGACTTTGACTGTGTCTCAGTTGACGGGCTGCATCATCATGAGTACGTGGCCCACCTGGACCACCTGGTCCACATTCTTTCCAGTCCAGGTAGGCTGCATGAAACTGCTGTGAAATGAGACGGTCTAGCCGTCACTTGACATAAGTCTGAGTGACCATGTGCTACWCTGTTACCCTATGGTTTCATACCAAACATAATATGTGTTGATGCGTGTATTCACACGTCTTTTCACTGGAAGAATAACTTCACAGTTAAAATGTTACACATTAATGAATAAAAAAACATCATTAATAATTTGTGTTTAGCTCCAGTTTCAGTACTTGTAGTGGCACTTTATTTAACTTCTTATTGCAACATGAATTTCATCAGATAAGTTACTAAACTTACATTTAAAAACAAATACTTTGGTCCGTGATGAATTTCCAAACTACGCTGACTTGGTAAAAAAAAATACAAACTCCATCGTCTTTGTTTCTGTGTTTAGTTTGCTGTCAGCTCATTGAATCCTGGGATAGCCTCGACCGGGTGGGATACTTGATTTTGAACCAAAACAGGTTCAGAGAGAGACGAAYCAAGAAGTGCTGATAGAAGCTGACAAAGCTGTGGATGAGATTAAACACTGCAACAGGAAAAAGGCCACTGAGAACAGGGTCCAGCACTGAAGAGGCTCGTTATTCATGCAGGAAGTGATGATGTCAGAAATCAGGAAAAAGGATTTTCATCATCTGTTGATCAAAGAATTTTATGTCTGAGAGGGATAAATATTTTTTAAAGAAAATCAACTTCTGCAAAATTATTCTGGCTACCAATTTTGATCACATTTTCCTCACAACACGTTGCACAAAACTGTTGCCTAAAACCTTGACATTACTTGTCACCACTGCCTGTCTGTTAGAAAAATATCTCTTCAACTACTTTGTAGATTTTTGGAGCACAGTTCAAGATGGATGCCGCAGATTGACAGCAAACAGAAAAATTACTCCAACTTAATAAATTGTATAGATACTGGGCTACATTTTAATGTTGTGGTAGCTGATAGTCATCCCCATGACATGTTCTGAAGTCTTTTCAAAGTCTCACAAAGTGACTATAATCCCTTTTCAACATACAATGACTGCAGTTTAAAACGTGAATAGACAAAATGCATTTCTTTAAAAATTCACATTATCAACATTTGCAATGGAGACTTTTAAAAGTTCATTTCATGAATATATTTGTAATCTAATCTGATGTGTGTTTTTTGAAAACAAGACTGTCATTATCAGGTGAATATGTGGAAGTTGAGCTTCCTCTTATCTCTGCAGTGTAGTGGAGCCTCAGAGCCTCACCAGTTCACGTGACCAGTGGGTGGACTGGTTCCTGCAGCGACTGCAGCAGGAGCCRTGGGCACTGGGCGGTCTCGTGGTCATGGGCGTGTTCGTGCTGGGAACGCTGTCTCTCGTGCTCTTCGCTCTGCTGTTTGGATGCTGCAGCCGCCCAAACCAAGACAAGCAAAGAAAGAAGAACCAGCAGAAGAGGTCAAAGAATGCAGTGATTTAGATGTGATCTGCTGACTTTTGTAGCTTCAGATCTGTTAGAATTTTATTTTGGAGTTTTTACAAAACAGACACAATGTATGACCTTGTTTTTATTTTTTTAATCACCAGCCACAATAAAAAGCAGACAGTCATGTAACTGCTTATGTTTAATTCTTGTCTCTTTTGCACAAACATACTAAAAATCTTTATGATGAACAGAATCCAAATACACTCAGCAATAGCATATCTGTCTGATATTACATTAAATATTAGATTTATTTATGTTTTTACATAACACAAGAAGTGATGCAGATCACCTGCAGTGAATATATTGGTAGGTTTCAAAAGCATTCACCACATGCACATGTTGACTTTAGGTTATGAAAATTATTAGAGCCACATTTTGAAYTTTGTATTTATTTTTAATTTTGGTGTAATACCCAAAGGTCACAGTGTACAGCATTATGTACAGCTTAAAATGAGTCAGCTAATAACTCAGCAGGTGTGCTGAATACGGTGGAAAACACAGTTTTTTGACTCAATTATAGTGACTTGTTCTTGCCAAAAAATAAAAATGAACCTAAGCCACTAAGGGGCTGCTGACYGGCACTTRGTTGACGCGCTTGTTGTCCTTGATCCAATGAATGAACGCTTGTCTTGATCACAGTTAAAGAGCATTTATTTGCTTGTTSTCCTCTCCAACAACTTGTGATACTGAGCGTTGCAGAATGTTAACAGAACATGACTGATCAAAAAGCAAAGACAAAAAYAACGGTCAAAAAACTGGGTGATTAACTGTGACTCCTTTAAAGCTGTACATAATGCTGTACACTGTGACCTTTGGGTATTACACCAAACCTAAAATAAATACAAAGTTCAAAATGTGGCTCTAATAAAAATAGTTTAGCTTAGATGCTGCTTGTGTCCAACAATATTCAAATCAAACTTTGGATTTTCTGTTGGACTAAAGTCTATTCATTGAGTGGACCTTTCCAGACATTAAATTGGTTAAAACACAGGAGTGATGCTTTGACAATCTTGATGCACACACACACGCGCACACGCACGCACACACACACACACACACACACACACACACACA